CTGTGGTATGTGAGTTTTGCTCATGAGACACTGAAATGCTTGCTTCCACAGAACTTCAAGGTATGCAATATGAAGCCATATTACAGAAACATCCTAACTCAGAATTCTGTTTTATCTGTTGTTGAGTAACCATGGTTATCATTTTGAATATTAAACTTCTCAGATCTTCAGACTTAAAGCTACACTATGTATCTTTTTTATTTAAAAAAAAAAAACAGCAAATTGTTAATGATGAGAGAGTGTAAAAAATGCATCTTCCAAGCTATAACTTCTTTATAATACTGATTTATAATTTAGACAGGAAATCTTATACATATGTTATTCTCCTGTATACAAAGTAAACCTCTGGTATTAAAACATAAAAACTTGTCCATCCTCTCTGGTAAGTAACCCTGTATCCATGTGCACACCAGTGCCTCAGACCACATTCATTCGCACAGAGACACAGAGCTGAAGCGCAACCAAAGCAATGTTCTTCTGCATGACGCATGCAGATTTATTTTGTAACCTCTAGAGGGCCACAAGTTCCTTAGGGCTTGTCCCTGTACCCACACTTGTATTGGGATTTTACATTGGAATTAATCAATTTTCTTCCAAAAAGTCCATAGTGTAGCTTTAAGATAGGAAGTTTCTGTCATTTTGCCTCTCACCATTTTTTGAAAGTATTGTAATAATTTCTGGTTTGTCATTTTTGACGTTTTTTCTTTTTAGTTTCACTATATATGCGGAAGTTGTAAATATGTGTTTCTAATCATAAAGGTATTGTTATGTTATATTTGGATCCTGAAAGTAACTGTCTGGTGCAATAGAACCCTGAGAACTTCAGCGTTAAGAATGTGGAATTTCATTTGTTATCATAGTTTGCAAGTATGGGCTATCACATTATTGAAAATAGAAACAGCACCTCAATTCACCATAAAGCATCTGTTTATCATCTGTTTAACTAATGTAATCTAGTGATTGGAGGGATAAAAAGATTTTTGCATTCCTTTGGGAAAAAAATGATCTTAAACCGCACAAGCCACAGAATGCATATGCCTGAAGCAGGGACACATCATTATCCCGCTAAATCACACCAACAGAGAATGCACAACTGATGTCATACATGCTGTGTGTGTTTCCATCATGACCCTAATGAATATTGATCACATGCTGACATATACATCCTCTACTGGCGTGTTGTTGTTTTTTTATATTCTATACTTATTCTTTGTGTTTTTAATTAGCACGGTTTGAATATTCACTACATAATCAAATTATAGTCAACTATTAATGTTTGAACAATTCTGTTGCCTTTTTACTCAATGACTGGCTATAACTCAATTGTGATGGTGGCTGCTCTTCTAGATAGTTCTGAAGACACGGTTTAGCAAAAAAACATTGTGGTGCTCTGCTCTTTAGAGTTATCTATTGTTAGCTCGGTCTTGAGTGGTTTGTTTGTAAAAAGGAATCATTTATTTGTCCAGATGACTACAGTCTGTGGACTGTTTATATTGTTAAGTATAGTCTCAGATTGTATCAGAGCATATATTTGTTAATGTGTATCCGTTCAGATGAAAGACACCTTATAGCCTATGTACGTGTATGTATCCGAAACCAAGGAGAACATTATTGTATATATAATGCTCTTATGTGGATGTCCCTATTTATTTTTGTAAATAAACCTTCAGTTCTACTCATTGATTCTTTTCTTTATAGAATATGAAGAGCTCTTTGCAATTTGCAAGAATTGCGCAACTGGTGCTCTGCTCTTTAGAGTTATCTATTGTTAGCTCGTTCTTAAGTGGTTTGTTTGTAAAAAGGAATAATTTATTTGTCCAGATGACTACAGTCTGTGGACTGTTTATATTGTTAAGTATAGTCTCAGATTGTATCAGAGCATATATTTGTTAATGTGTATCCGTTCAGATGAAAGACACCTTATAGCCTATGTACGTGTATGTATCCGAAACCAAGGAGAACATTATTGTATATATAATGCTCTTATGTGGATGTCCCTATTTATTTTTGTAAATAAACCTTCAGTTCTACTCATTGATTCTTTTCTTTATAGAATATGAAGAGCTCTTTGCAATTTGCAAGAATTGCGCAACTGCGCTCACAGCGACCCGATTTCGAATCCCGCCTCGAGGTCCTTTGCTGATCCCGCTCCCCTCTTTCCACCCCAATACTTTCCTGTCTTCTCTCCACTGTCCTCTCAAAATAAAAGGCACAAAAAGTCCATAAATATAACTTACATTTTTTTTTTTTTTTTGCAAGAATTCTTTTATTTTTTCCTTTATAAAATATTTACTGTCAAGTGACATCACTGAAGTAAAAAAAAAAAAAAGCTGGTCTGTTTATAAAGATGTTTCTCTAGCAGCCTATGTACGTGTATGTATCCGAAACCAAGGAGAACATTATTGTCTATATGTAATGCTCTTATGTGGATGTCCCTATTTATTTTTGTAAATAAACCTTCAGTTCTACTCATTGATTCTTTTCTTTATAGAATATGAAGAGCTCTTTGCAATTTGCAAGAATTGCGCAACTGCGCTCACAGCGACCCGATTTCGAATCCCGCCTCGAGGTCCTTTGCTGATTCCGCTCCCCTCTTTCCACCCCAATACTTTCCTGTCTTCTCTCCACTGTCCTCTCAAAATAAAAGGCACAAAAAGTCCATAAATATAACTTAAAAATTTTTTTTTAATTTGCGAGAATTCTTTTATTTTTTCCTTTATAAAATATTTACTGTCAAGTGACATCACTGAAGTAAAAAAAAAAAAAAGCTGGTCTGTTTATAAAGATGTTTCTCTAGCCTTCAGACATCGCCGTCCTCACCAACACTTGCTGTCAGTAATGATTTGACATCAGTTTTCTCAACCACAACTTTGAGGGTTTTTCATTTGCATTTAGAGAATCACAGCAAAAGTTCCCTACATTGTCAGGATGAATGCTTCTGAGGATGAATGAGCTTTTTCATGACAAGAAGCCCACTCTTAAACTGAATGAACGAGGAGGGTTCTGACATAGAAGTTGTTTATAGAAGTATTATTTTCTTTTTATGGTTCTGCAAGTAAGTTTGAATTAATTGTGCCCAAAGGAAAAACACACCTACTGGCCACATGTTGAACTGCATGAGCCCACTTTTAAGTTCGTTGTCTCTTTACAAGGAAGGGAAGAGAAAAATTGAACAGTTCATGTAAACAGTTCTGATTAACAGTCAATAACATGGGGTGAAGAGGACAAACAAATACAGATTTAAAAAAGAAAAGAAAAGGGATCAGTAAGATTTTTTTTAATTCTTTGATTCACCCAGGATGCATTAAACTGGTTAAACTGAAAAATTGAAAAGTGACAATAAAGACTTTTACATTGTTTCACAAACATTTCTATTTCAAATAAATGCTGTTCTTTTGAATTTTCATATTCATCAAAGAAACTGGTCTTTCAAATTGTAATATTTCACAGTGATAATGTTTTTACTATTATTTTTGATCAAATAAAATGCAGCTGTGAACATAAGAGTCTTATTCAAAAACATTAACAAATCTTACCGACCCCAAACGTCTGAACAATAGTGTGTATACCCTGGAATAGTCTAGAAATACTGGGCATAACATTTGCCAGCATGTGAGTGTAAAATATGTGGATTCTCATCTCGGTCAAGTCTTCTTTTAAAGGTACCTGGGAACATTATTCATGTAACAATATCTGTGTGCACTGTGATTTGTGGATAAAATGCTCTTACATTGGGTTGTTTCATTGCAACTATGCAACTATGGATAAAATGCTCTTACATTGGGTTGTTTCATTACAACTATGACGCAAGTTGTCATTTCTAAACAATGCAGCATCTGCTTTTTCAGACAATGCCCTCATGTGGGCAATGTGCCATTTGCCAATTCAGCAATGGCTCTTGAAAAAACACATGACATTACATTACAGCAAGAAATGTTTGCACAATTCTGCACAATATTCCATCATGGGTTGGAAAAGTAACAAAAGTATTTTTAGCACTGTTTTCTCTTTGAGGAAAAGTTTCTCATGTCTTAAAGTTTATATTAATTCATCTAGCATTGCGAATTTACAACAATGTGTCAATATGATTCATGAAAAAAGTCAGATTGTAAGGAATGTATGCTGTATCTGAACATGAAAAACCCACTGAATCACAAAAAATTTACACAAAATTATAATGATAAATTATGAATGATAATATTATGAGTCTTACAGAAGCAAAATCATAGACAAAAGACAATGTTATTAAAGTCAATGAAATTAAGCTAAGAACATTTAAAATATTTAAGTGGTCTCCCAGGCTGGTCAGGCTTTTTGGGGACTTTTCAGATGGTCAAACTGATGTTCCAGATTGCAGATCAGCTAAACCAGCAGAGAACCAACTTAGCTGGGAGACCAGCTAGACCAGTTTAAACCATCTAAGACCAGTTTAGGCTGGTTTAAGACACGTTTTTTTTCTAGGTTTAACTCAAACAGCTGAAACACTTCATTTAAATATTCCAAATACAGGCAGAACCCAAGGGCTGAGAATTACCTTTAGTGAATTAAATATACGGCCCTGCAGAATGTCTGATGGCTTTTGAGGCTTTTTATGGGTCAGATGTTAAGTTGACTCATTTTCAAAACAGTTCACAAGGACAACAGAGGGATGACTGTCTCTTTAATAATTCCTCTCTAATTAAAATCCCTCGCCCTCTGCCTACCCGTCCGTGTGAGAAATTACGAATCCTACTATGGAAAAAGACTTTGCTCATTAATATTTATTAGGTAATGATGCGTTGCTTGGTAACCCAACTAACACATCTATCACAAAGCTACTTAATATTCATGAGACAACGCTCACCATGTGATGATTCGTTAATTCGCCAAGTGATTAGCTAACCGTCTGCATTTCAGCGAATCAGTGAGGCTCACTGGGGGAACGCCACATTCCATAATTAATATTCATGAGCTAATCCTTCAGCATAGTATGATTGGTTAATTTGCGTCCAGTGTGCTTACGTACCGCCGGGGTTCCAAGGATTTGGCGTGAGTGGCAGAGCTCGCCTCTAGAGGAAACGGAGCGACTCCAAACTGCAAGGCTCGAGGCTGTCAGTATAAAGCAACTTTTAGCATGCAATGTAGGCTGAAACAGGAGTTTGAGAAGTTGTTTGTCTTTAATGGTTTGTTGAATGGAAATGGAGGCAACAGGCTTGACACTGTTCTCGAGACGCTCAGTGGCTGCAGTCGCGTGAAAACATTTGTAGGGCTTCATGAATTTTCACATTCATCCATACCTACCGATATATTACTATAAATATACTGTGAGTCTAAATATAGACTATTCTGCAGTCAGTGGCGTATCTGTTTTGAATTTGTTGTCATGTGCATGTATCTGTTTTGGCTTTTGGCAACACTGATTCACTCATTCTCTGAGGTGTTTTGTCTTGCTTGGTGTGTGTAGTTTTGCTTGGGACATTATTTTACATGTTTTGCATGTTTCTATCTAGTAAAAGAGGGATCAATGATATCTGTTAAGTCACTACTGTGCATGGTGAAAAGATGTAAATGTGTTTTGCTTAACGCAATGGCTGAGGTGGGATACATGTTGTCATCAGGTGGCAAGTGCTGGATGCTGCTGCTGTCAGTTTTGTTGAGATTTTTTTGTTTTTTTGTTTTCTTTGAAGGTCAATATTTTCTTGGGAAACCTTGGTGCAAACCATACAGTATGTCTGGTTAGAAAAGATACAGCGACTTGAATCAGAAAACACTTAAAAAAAAAACATACAAGTTTTTACAATAATAGTATGTTGTCTTTGTCAAGGTTCATAATGACAAGCACTGTATCAGAGCAATGTCACACACTGTCCAGGATTGGCACAATTGTTCTCTGAAATGCCGCCTATGAAGGCCTGATTGTTGAACATTCATGTACAGTATTACTTCAAATTCTTCCATTACCAAAGAGTGCTAAACTTAGCTGGAAACTAGTGGTCTCCCAAGTTAGGCCAGGTGAACAGGCAGGTCCTCAGTGGTTATCTTCCCTCCGATGTCTCGGTGCGGACATTGTGATGTGCTAGTGCACAAGAGGTCCTCTTATCTCAGTTCTCTGAGAGCAATAAGAGCATATCAGGCTTTTCTCACTGCCACTCGTTCGTAGTTTAAAGCTGCTCATAAAGAACCTCCAGATGCCTCTGAATGCTTGGGATAACATTATCTCATGTAGATGCCATTCAAGGTTTGTTTACAATAAAGAATAAGAGAAAATTACCTCTTACATTAATGATTACAGTGTCAATGGAATGTTTTAAATGTTAGTATGACTTTATAGTGATTGATTGCATCTAAAGTTAATCTATCCATGAAGTTACACTACCGTTCAAAAGTTTGGGGTCAGTAAGACATTTTAATTATTTAAAAAGAAGTCTCTTATGCTCACCAAGGCTGCATTTTATTTTATTAATAATACAGTAAAATCAATACTGTGAAGTATTATTACAATTTAAATAACTGTTTTCTATTTTGATATATTTTAAAATGTAGTTTATTCCTGAGATGCAAAGCTGAATTTTCAGCAGCCATTACTTCAGAGTCTTCAGTGTCACATGATCCTTCAGAAATTATTCTAATATGCTGATTGCTGCTCAAGAAACATTTCTTATTATGATGCTTAATATTTCGGTGGAAACTGTGATATTTTTAAAAATCTTTTGTGACATTATAAATGCCCCTACTGTTATTTTTTTAATTAAAATGTGAATTTCTTGAAATATATTGAATATATTACTGACCCGGTAGTGTATGTTAAAATTTCAATGTATTTAGAGTGATGATAAAATTAAGCACACATTAAACCGAAGACACAGTTCAATCCCAAAATGCCTTGTGAATGCATGAGATAAGCTTGCTTGTGTCCGTAGGGGCTGCCAATTAACTCTAATCTTTTGTTAACCGTTTTCAGAATCAGACAGGTTGCACTTGCAATTGGGAATTGGAAATAGGAATTAAACCCATCTCTAACCCTAACCCTAACCCTAACCAAAACCTGCCCAGGACTCAGATAGATGAGGCACCCTTGAAGAAAGGAGTCTAGAAAAATCTTTTAACTTAAGAGGCGGCTATATTAGCCCTGTGAATCATGGTAGGCCTGGCATTCTGGGTGTCCCCTTACATGCCATATAAGTACCCCTTCCTCCCCCCTCCCCACAATGCCATAGTGCTATCGCTCTCGGCAGAGGGGCAGCTATTCTTAGGCTGTCTGTCCAGCTCATTTGAACAGGCAAGAATCCTCTTCCTCTGGCTCATAGCTCTTCTGTGTTGCTCCAGTTATTTTGCATTAGTTGCAGTTTGGCTGGGCCTGAATTATTTGTTTTATGCTGTTACTTTGACCCTTTTGGCCTGCAGGATTTTTTTTTTTATCGGAGAGGTGTGAGTGTTACTTTCATTTTACACTTTTTTCCCTCCTTCTTCTTTCAGAGGCTGTTTGGCACGTGCCCCGCCCCCTCCAAATTCATTTTCCCCATTTGTTCTGAAATTCTGTTGCTTAAACAATACACAGGATTTTTTTGAACAATGAGTTCGTACACCGTTTCCCTCGCTGGACCTTCGCCTTGGGGCTTCCGGTTGCAAGGAGGCAAGGACTTCAACATGCCCCTCACCGTTTCCAGGGTAAGACCCCCAAATCTTGGCCAAAACAGACAGTGGTTCATTGGTTCAGCACCATTTACTCGCATACAAATCAATGTAGATTGAGTCTAATCTACTTAATTGATGTTTCCATGAGATTTGTTTGAATACAAATAATTTTAAATGTTTCACTCAAATTTGAATTCAATTAAATGAAATTCCAGTTTGATTTTCCAAACCTCACTCTCCAATTCACTCTCTTATTATGAGACTTAAAATATGATCCATCATTTCACTAAAGTGTGACTTGGTGATTTGTAGTTCCTTTGGTCATTCATTGTTATCTTGGTACTTGATCCTTTGCTGATCTGTTGCTGATCCAGAGTTGTTTGTTATGTATAGTAATGACGTTATTCATCATATGATGATAATGATTATGCTTCTCCTATATTATTGTGCTATATTATTATTATGCTATATCCTTATTGATTTGGAAATTTGCATTGGGCATGTGCAGTTTGTGCCACAAAGGAGTGATTGGTATCTTGGTGTAAAGTTTGTGTATTGCCCTTCGGTGCTGTTAGATATTGTGTAATGGATTTTCTGAATAATTGTATTGTCTTTCTACAATATTGCTTTATTGAGGGATCCTGTAAATCCATATTTACAATGTAGTTGTACTGTATTGATCAAATGCATGCTGTCAGTTCATTGCACTCAAGTCGATTCATCCTTGTTCTGCTGTTATCCTTGCGTTTGACATGAAGTCATGATGACTAATGCTTCTCTTGAACAGCTTGTTCTGTGAAATTGTAGTTCGATATATACAAGGAATTCAGCATGAATGAGTGCAAAAGGGTGTTTATGAGGGCTTTATTTTGGCAGTATTGTAAGACGGGAAGGTCAAATATCACAGAAGGGTGAGTTCTCATTGTACTGTAACAATTATAGCTCTGCAAATACACATAGTTGACCTAGTAGGAGAAACATTTTACTTCTTGAAAGCATAATGAAAACAAACCAGAGAACGATATATTGTTGGCATATGTATGTTTGACTAAACGTATCTGTTTGTGTGATTGTGTTGGCATGTATCTGTCAAATAAGAGCACAGTCCACATGCACATTCCTATTCTCAGATGTCTAGTGAGGACAGATTCACTGCTCCAATATGTTGCTGGCATTAGAGGGTCTTGAAAAAATAGATCCTCTTGTGTAAAAAATGTCAGACAGTGATCGAGTGGTCAAACGGTGGCAATACGTGCCACAAAGAGATGATGCACTGCCAGTTTGTCACCTCTGCTAACATTGTCTGCGGTCAGGAAGAATGTCTGTCCTGCCACTATCCTAGGTGGTCCATAGTGTTAGTCATATTATAGTGACGTATATACCCTCAACAGTATCGTAATGCACACTGGAATCTTCTGATGCTTTTCTAGGCATTTTATTTGCAACATTTGACAGCCATTTGGCCTCACTGTACTGGTTACTAAGAATATCTAAATCAAGAAGTGTGTGGCAGGTCTGTTTGTCTACAGGAAAAGACCAGTAGCACAGGGCCTAGTCAGTCACTGTAGAGTGACAGGTGGTACTCAGTACATTTGTTCTGGCTGTCGGTTGGCTCAACAGGGGGCTTTTCTATAAAAGTACCTCACAGGTGTGCGGGCCTGCTGTAAAGGAGGCAAGAAGTGTTCTGTTATTATGTATTTAAATCAAGACGTAGATTTACATCTGCTGTGAGTATCACATTAGTAGGTCTGAGGAAGATCCCTCAGAACACTTTGCTCTGAGTGTTAAAACATGCAATGATGAACTGTTCTGGACCTGTTAATGGGCTGTTGAGATCGAAGAATAATTAATTAGCTATACACAATATTAATGTTTTTACTGTATTGCCAATCAAATGTAGTCTTGGTAAGCATTTAAATATTTGACCATTTAGTTTATAATATACTGGGGCTTCTTTTCAGTTTAATTTAATTATTATATATATAATTTAAATTCTAAATATAAGTATTATAAATCTATAATATAGTTAATTCTTAGGGTAAGAATATGTGACCCTGGACCACAAAACCAGTCTTAAGTCGCTTGAGTATATTTGTAGCAATAGCCAACAATACATTGTATAGGTCAAAACTATAGATTTTTCTTTTATGCCAAAAATCATTAGGATATTAAGTATAGATCATGTTCCATGAAGATATTTTGTAAATTTCCTACTGTAAATATATCAAAACTTAATTTTTGATTAGTAATATGCATTGCTAAGAACTTCATTTGGACAACTTTAAAGGCGATTTTCTCAATATTCTGATTTTTTTTGCACCCTCAGATTCCAGATTTTCAAATAGTTGTATCTCGGCCAAATATTGTCCTATCCTTATTTATTCAGCTTTCAGATGATGTATACGTCTCAATTTCGAAAAATTGACCCTTATGACTGGTTTTGTGGTCCAGGTTCACATATGATTTTATATAGATTCCATTTTTCAATCAATTCAGTCATTTCTTTGTTTCTTTCTGACTGGCTGATTGACTGATTGATTGATTGATTGATTGATTGATTGATTGATTGATTGATTGATTGATTGGAGTTTGTAATTTAGAAAACCCCCCCACCATGAATCAGTATTGCAGATTGATGAAGTCTAGCTTTTGTTTGCATTATACTCTATTTTAGTGTAGAAATTTTTCCAAATTCTTTTGAGGAATTGTACTGACATACAGTGGTGTGAAAAAGTGTTGGCCCTCTTCCTGATTTCTTATTTTTTTTGGAGTTTGTAATTTAGAAAAACCCCCCACCATGAATCAGTATTGCAGATTGATGAAGTCTAGCTTTTGTTTGCATTATACTCTATTTTAGTGTAGAAATTTTTCCAAATTCTTTTGAGGAATTGTACTGACATACAGTGGTGTGAAAAAGTGTTGGCCCTCTTCCTGATTTCTTATTTTTTTGCATGTTTGTCACACTTTAATGTTTGTTTTGGATTTTGTTTTCCCTTAATAATAAAAACCTTCATTTAAAAACTGCATGTTGTGTTCACTTGTGTTATCTTTTACTAATATTTAAATTTGTTTGATGATCTGAAACATTAAAGTGTGACAAACATGCAACAAAATAAGAAATCAGGAAGGGGGCCAACACTTTTTCACACCACTGTATAACAGATGATACACAAGTATTTTCTAACTTTCTTTGGCTAATATACTGGACCTTCTGAATTGGGTGAAATATTGTTGGCAGATGCTTCTGTGTATGACTCTGAGTGCTCCTATTCAGCGCTAGGTGCTGAAATGAGGGTTTTTCTTGGCTGAGAGCAGCTCAGACTGTAACAGATGGCACACAGAAAGCATGAACTTGCAATTCAGTTCAAACTGAAAGCAGCAGATGAGGGATATAAATACCTCTGGGTGGTTTGGATGAAAAGGAACTGCTAAGGAAAATAATACTTTTATCTGGAGAATGCATTAGACAGTAATTAAGTAACAGCAATAAAGAGACATTGGCAAATGGCAGATACAGTTTTGGAAATTAGAAAAGGTCAGCTGAATGAAGTTATCGCAAAAAAAATTTACAAAATTATTTATTTACTAAATTATACTAAATCTTGTCTATAAATGCATTTAAACTATGCATGTTTATTAAGTTTTTACTTTATGGAAACTACGAAATGTGTAATAATCAAACAGTTGCATTATTTATTATTCTACAGAAGTTGAGATCCAAGCTTTTTTTAGCTGTTGTGTTGTCACTAACATGTATAGAATAACACAGATGAGAAAATCATTTATCCTATTGAACTGAGTGGTGGTAGGAGTAAAAGGGGGTTGGGACGCCAATGTAAAAGAGGAAAGTTATGGGGGGTTACCCATCATCTTATACTTACACTAATGTTCTGTGACATTTCATTTGACACTGTGGTGTCATTAGAAATGTGTTTGCCTCTGAAAAGATGTTACAGTTAAATGTCAACAGGGATCCACTGTTGGATCTGCCAAATAGTTTGAGGATGTTTCATCCATTGAAGGGCATTTGCTGCAGCCTAATATAAAACTCAGCATAGTGTTTTTGTGGGCTTTCTTGATGTACCCTAATGAACCAACTTGTGGAATAGTGTTTCACCTTTGTGAAATGATATTAGGGAGTTCAAATATGAATGTTTCAAATTAAGGGCTACTCTCATTCACATGGTATTTACTGAGCATCCAGTTAAAGCTTGTGAAGATTGAGTTTTATGGTTGGCTTGAATTTGATCTGCATTAATACTATCAGTGTGTTGGATTAATGACACAAATGTAGCTGTCTCTTCACTTGGACCACATTCAAAGTTTTTTTTTTTTTTTTTTAAGTTCTAGAAATAGGACAACACCCCTGGTGAGAGTGTTCCCAACAGTGTTGATTTTCATTGTGACTTTCCAGTGCTGGACTGCTTATATGACATCTCTCCACACGCCTGTTCTCTAATGAGCCGAGGGAAATTGTTCATTCCACTCAGTCTTCAGGAAGATTGATGCTGGCAGATGAACACAAACCTACTTAATTTTTAAAGCTGATTATTGCATTCTCTGTTCCCATGAGCTAGTTGAAAGAAAAAAGGGGCTACAGTAGCCTTTTCAGTCTTTCATGGTTACTTGTTTTTTTATGTGCTGTACTTATCCACTGTATTTTTAAAATATTATATAATATATATTTTCACTGGCTCCATTGCAAATCATGTATATATGTTTTAACAACATACCAGTACCATTCAATTTTTATAAAAAAAATGTCACTGTTATTTAGCAAGGATGCATTCAGTTGAGCATAATTGACAATAAAAAACCCTATAATGATTCAAATAAATGCTGTTCTTTTGAACTTTCATCAAAGAATCCTGAAAAAAGTTTTATGGTTTCCACAAAAATATTAAGTAGCACATTTATAAAGATATAATAAAGAAATGTTTCTTGAGTAGACATGTTGATTTGCTTGATTTCTAAAGGATCATGTGACACTTAAGACTGGAGTAATGGCTGCTGAAAATTCAACTTTACGTTAT